TATATATAATTATACAATAAAATATATATATATTTTTTTTCCCACAAAATAAAAAATGCTCAACATTTTAAGGAGACAAATTTTATAAATACTGATCTTATATGTCTATAGTCAGACAATAAAATATCTTAACTGTAAGCCTAGTGATTATTGGGTGAGAGATAACAAGAAACACTCGACAGATCTACAGAACAAGAAAAGATTAACACTACATAAACAGAACTGGTAAAACACTTAATTTTCTATCTATTCTATCTATAACTCTTCCAAAGTTTAATACTTTATTACAATTACATTGCAGATCCATTCATCTCTATGCAATTTGACAGAGTTAAGAGGCTCCCTTTATCACAAGAAAACTAAACACCTGATAAAAGAACAGCAAAACAACCAAATACAATTAGTCCTGTTTGTGTATTTTGTTGTAGTGAATTTAATTTAAAGCATTTTGAATTACAATCATTTTCTCATTAGTTCAAAAGATAAAAAAAATACAATCATTTCAAAAAAGGCTCCAGTTTGACCAGATATTTCCACCAGGTTTGAAACATTTTAAATTATCCATTAAATATCTTTTCTTAATGCTTTTAAAATGCTAAACATCTGTTTTCATTGACTACTTAAGAAATACCTTAATGTTGAGTATTTTCTATGGTTATATTCATTTTTGTGGATATAATCTATTAGTTTGAAGATTTCTAAAATAATTTTTGCGCTTACCTAAGTATGAATATATTTGTGCAATAATGTTTTAACAATAATAATAATAGTAATAATATGAGATCCCCTTATTGATGTGAATGTCATAATCACAAATTTTATAATCTGTGGGCTGCTAAAAAAAGACCCTGCAGTGCAGCAGAGTGGAGATTAAATGAACTTTAAATCTACAGTTTGGTTTCATATTTAATCAAGTAGCAGTTAAAAGAGGTTAGAGGTCAACTGTAGCTTTATCATTCCAGTAGGTGGTTTGTTTAGGATTCTTACACATGAACACAGTGAAAACAGAACTACATTACACATAAAATACAATGTAAACAGCAGAAGAAAACAAAGGAAACGGCAATCAATACCTTAATTACTGTAAGCAGCAGACATTAAGGTTTTATGGTGAGGAGCAAGTCTCTTCTTGCACAGTCACTGCAGTCTGAGGATGAGTGAAGAAAACTGAAGTGTTTAATAAGCAGAAGATCCAGATGTAACATGGCATCAGATGTTTTTCACACAGCTGACTGGTTATGAAGTCTGGGCCATACTTGACCTCGCTGAGATTTTACCTACATGATCAGGCCGAGGATCCACCAATAACCAGTTTATATGCAGACATGTCAGACAGGAGGTTAGGAAGGGCTACACTTTGTTGGAGACCAGTCTGAATCTGTTTCCTGTCTGCTTGTTTAGTTTTCACCTTTCCTCAGTTCCTTTTCAGAATAATTAAAAGACTGAACATATTTTCTCAGTCATCTGAATATCTTCCACCATTCATCTTTTATTAACGCCTGTTTTACTTTGCCGCACCAATATTATTTATTTATATTCAGTAATAACCTGCAGATGTAAAGCTTTCTGGAAAACATTTCTGTGCAGCATCTTTTGTTGATCTGAGAGAAATCACTTGCTTATACACAACCAAGAAATGTTTAATTTTTAAAAAGGAAGAAATAATATGCAGTTCTACTTTGAGCTAAATCAAATATACAAATCACAAAGACTTCATGCCAGATTGGTCAAAGCCTGGGTTGATAATGGCTATAACTTATACTGTTATTCTACAGCAGGTATCCTACATGTTTCAGTTTTCTCCCTGGTGGTAGTTACTGCTTCCTCAGACAGTTAATGATCTGCAGTGACCTGCTAATGATCTATCACTTAATCCATGTGAGTTGAACATGAGGGAGAAAACTAAATCATGCAGGACTGACTTTGGACACCCCTGACCTAGAGGCTACCAGTGGACTATTGTTGGTCAACAAAGGAGAAATAACCTGGTAACAACCATTTGATTCAGGTTTTCTGGAACATGGATGTATCTAAAAGTTGAAAGATGCTATTCCTTAACTATCCCTACAAATAGATAAGGAATTTATATATTTCTACCTGGTTTTGATAAACATTCATGGTGGACTGCCATCAATGACTCTTTTCAAAGTAAGCTGAAATCCAGACTAACTTAGTAAACCAGATATTGTATATTTCTATTGAGGGCCAAGAAGGGACTAAATAAATAAATGAATAGATCATTAATTAAATATAATGCGAAATAAATAAATGTTTCATTAATTTTATCAGTCAAACCTGCCCATCAAAGTCAAGGAGAGGGGCTAAAGATCACTTGATCTTCACTAGTTTAGTCTGATTCTTTGAAAATCGACGGTCTTTGTGAGGAAGGATTTTCTAAGCTTTTCTGAGTTCATTGGAGAGATTTTACAATTAACAGACATTAGGAGATTGTCATCCAAACTATGTAGTGGATAAAGTCAGAGAACTGATTGAATGGCAAACACTGCAAAGAACTGCAAATATGTTTAAAAAGAAAACAAAATCATTGCAAATAAGACATGAAAATTTGGTTGTTTACTCTGCAAAAGTTATAAACATTCTGTAATTTAGAGGCAGAAGCTCAGCAACAGGTGTTTTTGTTCATCTAAAGCGTTCCTCTATTACCTTAACAGTGTCAATAAATCATTATAATTAAGATCATCTATATGTAAATGTTTTAACTGATGAATCTTTTAATTAATTTATATTTTTCTGTTTTTGTTGTGAATGTTGTGTAACCGACTGCTGATGCCAGATTAAGCCAGGATTCTCTTGAAAAAGAGACTTTTAATCTCAATGAAACTTTCCTGGTGACATAAAGGTTAAATAATTAAAAATGTTATTAAAAAATGTTAATATAACAAAATTGTGGTGGTCTGTGATTTTCTGTGTTATTTTGAGGTTTTCTGTGTCCAGTTTTCCTGAGTCTCTGTGCCGTCCTGATTGTTCCCTGCTGTGTCTCGTTTCTTTGATTACCATCAAGTGTATTTGTTCCACCTGTTGTCTTTGTCGAATCCTTGTCGTGAAACGTCTTGCTGCCTGTTGTTCTGTGGATTTTTCATTATATCATCATCACTTCAGCCTGTGTCCTCCCTCACCACTCCTCACACATCATGACAGTAATATTGTTATCAAAGCATTTTATTGATCCCAAATGCAGGCAATAGAAGGTATTCAGTAGTTACAGTAGTCAAACAAAACAAAGAACCACAAACAAAAGAAACTCAGATTATCATAAACATCTATATAAAAGCTTTGTGGGTCAATGTTTGTACTACTTGTACACATTTTTAACTTCACATTGCTGAGAAAAAAACATTTACCAACCACCAAAAGTGCCACCTCACTAACTATACATTATTAAACATTTATCTGAAGCATAGTTAAAAAATTGCTTTAGAGAAAATTAATAAAAATTTTAAAACTTTTTGAATTTAGGAGCTTAAATGTTTATCCAAAGGAGAACCACTTGCCAACAACTCATACTCCAGACTGTGTGCTATATCTTTTTTTAAGACTCAACATGTTCAAACTAAAAATCAGCTGACTTAGCAGAACAGAATCGAGTCCTTCGTGTCATTATTGTGGAGGAAAAATATCCTTAATATTAAGGTTTAATTACTACATGAAAATATAAAATAGAAATTGAGCCCTTTTGAAAATCTCTTGTAGAAAATGTTTGAATAGAAAGGCCAAATAATATGAAGATTACTGAAGATGTACATTTGAATTTTTTATGTGGATGCAGAAATCCAGGAAAACTCAGATTTTTGGTGTCCTCAGATTTTGGTGTCCAAAGTCCTCATTTGTTAGGGTTTTGTTGGCTGTTGAAACAATTCAATAAGCAAAAATTTATGCAATGTTTCTATGAACCTATGTTTATACAATGTCTACATACAAGGCACTGAAAAAGAAACAAGTTATAACAATGTGATCTTACCGTCGTAGCAACGGTTTGTCTGATGAGGAACTGCCTTTGCTGTCGTCTGAACCTTCACTGGTTAAAGATGAAGTCTCTGAGTTTGATGCCAAAGTCTCTGAGTTTGATGCCAAAGTCTCTGAGCTTGAGGTCGAAGTCTTCTTTTCTTCAGAAACTAGAAAATAAAAACATTTTGTGTGGAATGTCATTTTTTTATTTGACCTTTTTCAGTTTCTTTTGATTTAACTGAAGCCTTAATCTAGGTATCTCACTGGTCCTGTCAGACAAAAACCTTTAGTAGTGAAACTAAATCTATACCATGTAGCTTGCACAACGTGACAGGTCTCACGTGACTTTTAAAAATGGACAGTGTGTGAAAAACTTTACATGACAATAGGAAAGGTCACAAAATGAGATAAAGAAGATGATCACATATTGTAAATACTCGGAATGAATAAACAAAACAACAGAAATAAAGCTAGATTTGAAAATTTCACTTTTTAAATTAATTATAAANAATAACTAACTTGCTAATTTTTGAACATTTCCATTTTTACTATAATTAGTGTCATATAGTGTATAATTAGTATATTTAATTATCATTATGTATTATTTCACAGAGTAAGTCGACTCAGTTCAGGGTTTGTTCTGGAATAGGACCTGTTTATGAAGTTTATTTGTTTTTCTGCAAACTGACGTATAACAATTACATACATTAAAAGGTAAGTGTAAATTTCACTAAACAAAAAGTATGCTAACTAACATAAGATATAAGTAAAGACAATTGGTTAAACATGTAGTTCAGTTGCAGTCTAAGTCCAAAGTGCTAAGTGACGGTAATGTCTAGACATCATTAGCATGATTTGTGTCCTTGAGGAACTGAACTCATTCTTTGTGTTTTGGAATCAGCAGATGGTCCAGACCTCACGGACACTCCGATGGCTCTTCTGACAGACGTCAAAGATGATAATATTGATGCAGCCCTGAGAGCATCTGTATTGTCATTGAGGATTAAATACTTTTCAGTGGTCCTACAACGTATAATTTTGAATCTTATCATGAATCCTTTGAGTTTTTATCATAAGGTGCTGAAGTCATCTCCTTTTCTGTTTTTTTTATTTATAACAAGCACTTTGTTTTGACCGTGTTACTTTGATTTGTTCCTCTTAAAAAGCACATTGTATTGAATCACAAAAAATGGATAAAAAAAAGTTGTTCAATTGTCACTGCGGTGTCACTTCACTATTTCAGTATAGGGTTAATTTTGAGTGCATGTCCCCCAGATTGAGTTAAGGAATGTTGAAAAATGTCAGTGTATCTCCAACATTATATAAGCTGAAGAAACTCAAAAATTTTGAGTTTATTTCCAGCATTTTATGAGCTGAATATATAGAAAATTTCAAGTGAAATTTTTCCTAATCATAAATTGAGAAATATCAATATTTATAAGGCAATGTTGAGAGAATTTAAGGCAACTACACCTGTAATTTTTATTTTATGTAAACTTAAAACATCACTAAAATATTTTTGTATTTTTTTGAGTTCTGTGGACTTGTTAGGGTTTACAGTGTTGATGCATTTCATGCGCTTTGGTGCACAGACCGATGTGTTACATCTTTATGAGACAAAAACTGGGTAAAACTACCATTTACATTCGAGTGAGGTTTTTTACATCTTTTTATTTTCTCTATTTTGTCTGCATGTTATGTTGTCTGAGGATAAATGTGGTTCAGTTTCATTGCTTACATTCAAACAATAAAAAACATTTAAAAAAAAACATTGGGTTTGATGCTTCCTGGTCCAAATAACACTGAATATAGTTAGATTTCAGTATATTTAGGTGTGTTAATGCTTTGTAGTTTGATATTGTTCAGAGTGGCTGCCGCACATTTTCACGCCAACAAAAAAGTGTGCGTATATTTACACAAACTTTGACGCAAAATTCATTTTTATACATGCTGGCTTGGTGTAAAATATGACATTTTTTGTGTGTACTCTTTATGCATGAGGCCCCGGCTCTCTTTCAAATACTCTCTTTGCTTTTTCAAACCTTTCTCTAGCGCTCAAAACTTGTCTCTGCTCGGATCAAATCTCCACTTGCAATCCTCTCTGCTCACTTGCAAATCATTTTCTGCTCATGCTTGGAACAGAAAATGCAGGTGTTATACTGGGTGTGTTTGTTTCCTTCTAGGTGTGCACATGTGGATATGTATCTCAAGATAGAGAGATATCTCTCTATTCTATATCAATATAGGAATAGGAACAATCATGATAGATGCATATTAATAGAAAACCCACCAAACTGATAAAAACCAACAGCCATTCTTTTGAAAGAATGCTGTGACTCTACAGCGTAGAGATTACAGTGCTGCCGCTTCTAGTGTCCTTCTTGACACAAAGATGTAAAAGAATATGTACTCGCCTGACCCATCTGTGCCAGAAACAAACCATCTCATCAGCCACCAGCCGGCTTTCTCCAACTTTTACCCATATCCAAAAGTACCTGGTTGCACATTTCCATAGATTTTGTTACCGAGCTTCCTGTTTCCAGAGGTACGTCCACCATCTTCACTGCAATTGATTGTTTTTATAAGTCTTGCCACCTCATTCCTTTCAGAAAACTTCCCAGACTTCTCAACTACTTATTAAACATGTTTTTCAACTTCAGGAGATCCTGTCGGACAGCAGCCCCCCATTCACGTCACAAGTTTGGAAGCTTTTCTGCTCTCCACTCTGGATGTATGGCAAAATAGCTTCTGGTCGGTGTTTTCTTTGTAGGGTTACAAATGTGGACATGAAAAGTCCACATGCAAAAGGTTTACTCTACCTTTAATATGGGACATGAATCTCACAGGTCTGTGTGCTTCAATATGTGAGCTTCTGCCCAACAGAGCAGAGTAGCAGCAGCGATAAGGAAACACCTGGTGGAATTACGCGTTTGCTGAATTTATCATGCAAACTACTTCTCAGTCCAAAGCTCCTAAGAATGGCTGTAAACAGCATAATGAGAAGCACTGCCGTGAAGACCTGATGAAGGCGTAGTGTCTGAAAGAGTGGGAGCTTCTTAAAGAGACAGAGGCCCAATTTCAAGGTGTTATATTGCGAAGTCAAATTTCTTTTAAGTTGTGTGATACACATACAGCATTTGTATAACTGAAGATAACATTTACTTAATTATGCAATACAATGTATGCCTGAGAGAAACAATACCCACCACTAACGTTAGCAAAAAATATACAGGAAAAGGTCAAATAAAAAGATATACTACCCTGACTATGAAAGTTACTGTTTAAGAATATCATAAAGGTATCTTTAGGTCAGGTCCTCTGGGTCATTTATACAATTGATAAACAGCATTTGAAACTTGTCTCTGATGTACACACTGAAACTCAATCACAACTTAACAATATAAAAGGCAAAGATGTTGGATTAAGTGAAAATTTATTTAAAATCAAACCAAATTTACAAGGACAGATTCAACATAACACCAATTTACCAAACTCAACATAAGAAATTCAGCCACAGATCACGTCTATAAACCAGAAAAAAAATCTTTGCAGAATATTTTACTGTCTACATTAGAGAGAAGCAACTGAAGAAAGCCCTTTTAAAGTTTTTAATTAAAATTAAAATAAAACTTAACAGATCAAATAAGCAATAGAAACTAAGCTGACAGTGATTAAAGAAACAATATATAATTTACCCAAAACCAAAATATTTATGAGAATCAGGTGAATATTGCCACATCTACAAATCAAATGTATCACTGAGGCAAAACTTAACCCTGTAACTATATTACAGCCAGAACGATTAATGTGTTGATAGTTTTTGGATAAGAAAAGGTTTGACACACATAAACACAATATCTTATATTACCTTAGCCAACATGTCCAGAGATAAAATGTTTGCAGATATAAACTCCAATTGTCAGAATAACTGTTGACTGAAAAGTTAAGCTTTGTTGAAATTATTTAAAAATGATTATCAATGTTTTTCCAGATAATAAAAATAGTATAATAACTCCCATTTGATTTAACAGCATTTGAGTGAGTTCATGTATAATGTCCAATATTACATGAAATACAATTTAGCCAGAAAAAGAGAAAGTTGTGCCATTTATTGGTCAGTGCAAACTGATGAACCTACAGAAACAAAAAGACAAAAGATTCAGTCAAGAAGAAAGTACTGGAATTTTGTACATTTAATAAAACAAGATAAACAGAATTATATCCTTTGAAATCAACAGAAACCAAAAGTTGTGATGAAGTCAAAACTTCTGTTTAAGAGTAAATTGCTAATAATACAAAAATAAATTCAAAGGCAGAATAATAATAATAATAGTGGCTAAAAACATAAAAAAAAACAACATTACAAACTTTCTCTCCAGCAATAGACTCAACTTCAAATCTAATTAATGGTAAACAATTAACATTATTCCATTTGGGACAAATAAGTTCTTATAAAATGCTTTGTACCGCCTTCCAGAGGTGAGCTTAACAAATTCATAAACATGTTGACTTCAGTCCCTATAATCTGTTGGGTCTTTGGTTTTGTCTGCCTTTATGTAAATCTCTTGGCTTCCTTTGCTCTGTGCTGATGATCTTATACTGATGATTCTGGACCATCTGAAAATTTCTCTTAAATTTAAATTGTTTATTTTCATTTCCTTTTATTCTGCTTTTTGTGCTGTAAGGAGATTGCTTTGAGTTTCTGTTTTAAGTTAATTAAAATCCAACCACAGCTTCTGAAGCTCTGTTAAAGCTTCTCTGATCAGTTTTAGGATCCTCTCTATATTCGATATGATCCATAAAAACATTCTACTGAAAACAATAAGTGTCTTTTTATGTAAGCTTTACAAAGTCAGAATGTTCAGTTAGAAAATAGTTTGGTCATATCCATTATCCTTTCCAAAGAGTAAAACTGAATGAATATCTTCCAAAAGTGGAGATTAAAGAAAATTTGGAGAATATTTTAATAATAATTAAAAAAATGTTGCATAATACAGGTAAAACAAAGTTTTGTTTTTACATACAGGCCTTATGTTTAATAAAAGAAGCTTCATTCAACATTCAGCGACTCACTTGTTTGCATTTGTCTGTTTCTGCTTTTTCATGCTTGTGGCAGAAACTGGGTTTCCTCTGGAGGCTGACCGTCCACAGCTGCAACATCAGAAACCATGTGAATAAATGTTCTGCTACAAATCGATGTAAAATGTACAGAAAACATCCATAAAATAGATTTTTTTTAAAATTACAAAGCTAAGGATATAAACAGACTAAATAGTGAGAAGCTTTACTTACGAGAAGGTGGACGTTTGGCTGAAACAAATAGAAAAAACAACTTTAGATTTAAAAAGTCCCTTCAATTCTGTCATTCTCTACAGAGACAACAACCCAGCAAGCATTTCAGATGAACATGATCCAAATAATTCATGGATCTCTAGGCTAGATTTTGTAGATATTTGGTTCTAATATGGTACATTTTTGACATCCATAACTGGTTTTAGCTGACATCATCAGATTTTATTATAATTAAATACAAAAAAAATTAACCTGTGAAACTCACTATTCCTCAACTACTGTTTCCTACCAGTAATACTAGAGAATGTCATTAATTTTATTAGTAATCTATTAATTCAGCAGATTTAGTCTGATTTTATTCTTGTATGAATTGAGAACAGTTTTTACAATTAGAAATGATCAGTTTCTGATCTGCCTTAGAAATAATCTATGAGCTCTGAATAATCTGTGTTACAAACAAACTCAGTCACAGAGGAGCTCAGTTTGGAAATTATGATGCTGATTAACTGACATTTGAATTTTTAAGAAAACTAATGGCACTTCATATCTGGTCATATTCAGCAAACAGCAGGATGTGCAGCTCAAATGTTTAAGGAGGATTTAAATTAAAATGCAGGTTCCAGTCTTCAAGTACAAATATTATAATCATATTTACCGCTATCCTTTCAATTTTTAGTTCTCAAATAAAGAAACTGCTGATCCTTTTTATGCAAACTTAACCTAATTACAATAATTTAACATCAGAAAAAGGATCAAATTCTTTCATACTAACTCAAATGAAGCTGATCTTTGAGTTTTTGATCAAGTTTTCTGTCACTTCCACATTTGTGTTGCATGGCCCTAAATCTAAATTTAGATTACTTTTAGACTAGAAAGTATTGCCTGGTTTAAACCTAAGATAAATACGTAGGTCTAAATGATGGCTAAACATCAGTGACACTGTCTAAAGTTAATATAAAGCTTCAATGTTTAAGCAGGTCTGTTTCTCACTTGTTAAAGCTCAACAATCAAAATACAGAAAAACAAAGAAATTGACCAACTCACCGTTCTTCTTCTTGTAAACAATGAATCCAATCACAGCAATGAGACCAAGAACAGCCACAGCAGCAACAACAGGGATGATCACAATGCTGATATTTGCTGTTGAGAAAACAAACCAGGTTAAAATCATGTAGATGTTTCTTTATGCCATTTCATCTAAACACCATGAAAAGGTTTTTGTTTAGTTCTGGTTTCTTGGCTCCAATGTATTTTCTTTCAGCAACTATAATTGTAAGTTGTTACTTCATTAATAATTAACAGCTATTTTTAAATGTCATAAAGTTGTTTTTAACTTTAATATAACCTGAAACATGAATATTAATGGACTTGAAAGGTTGGTTGAATTTGGTATTGTTTAAAATACACATAAACATTGTATTAGCAGTAAATAACTTGTTTTAACATTTATCCTGCAGAACATTTATTTAAAACAATCCTAAAAAGAACTGCTTCTGATTCTGAGCCCTAACACAGAAAGTAAATTTAACAACACAAACAAGTCATATAGAATTTTCTAATTAGCAGGTATTTATCTATAAATAGATACATTTATATAAATACGTACATTCATTGGTCAAGATTCTTGTTTTCTCCAGTCTATGGGTCACGTCTTCCTTGTCTCCAGAGAGCTGAAACACACATTCATACTTGTTCCAGTCTCCAGTTGGAACAGATGACAGATCGATGTGAACGCTCATCTGGAAGGTCCCATCATTGTTGGGGACGATCTCTCCTTTCTCCACACCATCATGAATCTCCTCTCCATCTTTCCTCCAGAACATTTCAGCTCTGTTGGGGTAGAAACCTGTAGCGAAGCAGCTGATTGGAGAGGAGGACGACTTCTGGAGGAGAGACACTGAGGGACGCACTGGAGACAGAAACACAACGTTCAAATATTAACAGTTTATAATGATTCATGAGTCATGAAAATAATATTATATTAATGTGTCAGAACTGGAGACAAGCCTCAGAAACACAGACTTCAGTCATTGAGTCAAAATGACAAAATCTAGTAAAACAAGATACTCAGATAATCAATTTACATAAAAAGTCAGGATATGTGACGGTACCTGTTCTCATCAGAGAGCTTCTCCCATAGTCAACATACTTCTTCACCCACTCAGGACAAATCTGGTTGAGGTAGTTCTTGTTAGATTCCAGCCAACCTCTGTCATTGTTCCATTTGTTTGTAGTAAGTACAGCCTGTTGTTTTGGAGCAATCCATGTGTTTGACTCCGTGCTCCATATTAGCCAGTCTTCTCCATCATAGCCATGCTGTCGATAACCAGTAACCTTTTGAGTCTCATCATCCCACTCACAGCCGTACATCTTCTGGACAACATGAACACCTGAAAGACAGAGATAGAAGGAAGAACTGAATAGATTAGGTTTATTCCTCATTTAATAACAGTTTGAATAACACAAATCAACAGTCATCCATATATTACAGACATCTTACTAGAGAAACAAAAACTCCTGAGTAAAATGTAGAAAAGATATTATAACAGAACCTTCACAGATTTACTGTCAGCAGTTTATCTACACTGACCAAGGTAGTGTAGCTGCATGTAGTGGAGATGTACACAGGCACTGTGAACTTTTCAATAAGTTAATCTAATTTATTACATAATGAGCATTTTCAGACAGACAGTGAGCTGACAGGCCTGATGACAACATCATACAATGTTCTGGTATAAGACGTTACAGACCCTGTGAGGTTTCGGTTACGGGTTTTTCACTGAGGAAAACCAGATCATGAAATGAAAAATAAACACTAACTCCATCAGTAACAGACTAGTGTATGGGGGGAAGAATCTGCAGACGGTCCAGTTCACCTGCCCACAGAACTCCTCACTCCGACCAGAACCACTGACCCAGCAGCTCCTTCTCTAGAAAGCAGCTCAATCAGAACCAGCTGATGAACATGAAGGTTTTCCTGCTGATCAGAGGAAACCTGATCAAATAAAACATGTCTGATCAGTCTGACAGTCTGAGCTGCTTCAAGCTGCCATCAGTCTGAACAATCCGACCCGGTCCAGCTGATCTGGGTCAGTATTTCTCTGTTTGTGCTGCCAGATGCCTGAATGAGCAGAAACCTGATTCCTGCTAACCAGACAAACTGTTTCTGCTCTGAGCTGCTGAGACGTTTGTTAAACGGGTCTGAAGGAGACGAAGGTCGTCGTTCCTGGAAACGCAGCTTCATCCAGCAGCTGCTGAGGGAATAAAGAGTCAGAGAGAAGCTGGAACCCTGAGCCCGTCTGACCCGGTTCACTGATTCTACCAGAGTTTCTGACCCGGTTCACTGATTCTACCAGAGTTTCTGACCCGTTTCNAAAAAGTCCCTTCAATTCTGTCATTCTCTACAGAGACAACAACCCAGCAAGCATTTCAGATGAACATGATCCAAATAATTCATGGATCTCTAGGCTAGATTTTGTAGATATTTGGTTCTAATATGGTACATTTTTGACATCCATAACTGGTTTTAGCTGACATCATCAGATTTTATTATAATTAAATACAAAAAAAATTAACCTGTGAAACTCACTATTCCTCAACTACTGTTTCCTACCAGTAATACTAGAGAATGTCATTAATTTTATTAGTAATCTATTAATTCAGCAGATTTAGTCTGATTTTATTCTTGTATGAATTGAGAACAGTTTTTACAATTAGAAATGATCAGTTTCTGATCTGCCTCAGAAATAATCTATGAGCTCTGAATAATCTGTGTTACAAACAAACTCAGTCACAGAGGAGCTCAGTTTGGAAATTATGATGCTGATTAACTGACATTTGAATTTTTAAGAAAACTAATGGCACTTCATATCTGGTCATATTCAGCAAACAGCAGGATGTGCAGCTCAAATGTTTCAGGAGGATTTAAATTAAAATGCAGGTTCCAGTCTTCAAGTACAAATATTATAATCATATTTACCGCTATCCTTTCAATTTTTAGTTCTCAAATAAAGAAACTGCTGATCCTTTTTATGCAAACTTAACCTAATTACAATAATTTAACATCAGAAAAAGGATCAAATTCTTTCATACCAACCCAAATGAAGCTGATCTTTCAGTTTTTGATCAAGTTTTCTGTCACTTCCACATTTGTGTTGCATGGCCCTATATCTAAATTTAGATTACTTTTAGACTAGAAAGTATTGCCTGGTTTAAACCTAAGATAAATACGTAGGTCTAAATGATGGCTAAACATCAGTGACACTGTCTAAAGTTAATATAAAGCTTCAATGTTTAAGCAGGTCTGTTTCTCACTTGTTAAAGCTCAACAATCAAAATACAGAAAAACAAAGAAATTGACCAACTCACCGTTCTTCTTCTTGTAAACAATGAATCCAATCACAGCAATGAGACCAAGAACAGCCACAGCAGCAACAACAGGGATGATCACAATGCTGATATTTGCTGTTGAGAAAACAAACCAGGTTAAAATCATGTAGATGTTTCTTTATGCCATTTCATCTAAACACCATGAAAAGGTTTTTGTTTAGTTCTGGTTTCTTGGCTCCAATGTATTTTCTTTCAGCAACTATAATTGTAAGTTGTTACTTCATTAATAATTAACAGCTATTTTTAAATGTCATAAAGTTGTTTTTAACTTTAATATAACCTGAAACATGAATATTAATGGACTTGAAAGGTTGGTTGAATTTGGTATTGTTTAAAATACACATAAACATTGTATTAGCAGTAAATAACTTGTTTTAACATTTATCCTGCAGAACATTTATTTAAAACAATCCTAAAAAGAACTGCTTCTGATTCTGAGCCCTAACACAGAAAGTAAATTTAACAACACAAACAAGTCATATAGAATTTTCTAATTAGCAGGTATTTATCTATAAATAGATACATTTATATAAATACGTACATTCATTGGTCAAGATTCTTGTTTTCTCCAGTCTATGGGTCACGTCTTCCTTGTCTCCAGAGAGCTGAAACACACATTCATACTTGTTCCAGTCTCCAGTTGGAACAGATGACAGATCGATGTGAACGCTCATCTGGAAGGTCCCATCATTGTTGGGGACGATCTCTCCTTTCTCCACACCATCATGAATCTCCTCTCCATCTTTCCTCCAGAACATTTCAGCTCTGTTGGGGTAGAAACCTGTAGCGAAGCAGCTGATTGGAGAGGAGGACGACTTCTGGAGGAGAGACACTGAGGGACGCACTGGAGACAGAAACACAACGTTCAAATATTAACAGTTTATAATGATTCATGAGTCATGAAAATAATATTATATTAATGTGTCAGAACTGGAGACAAGCCTCAGAAACACAGACTTCAGTCATTGAGTCAAAATGACAAAATCTAGTAAAACAAGATACTCAGATAATCAATTTACATAAAAAGTCAGGATATGTGACGGTACCTGTTCTCATCAGAGAGCTTCTCCCATAGTCAACATACTTCTTCACCCACTCAGGACAAATCTGGTTGAGGTAGTTCTTGTTAGATTCCAGCCAACCTCTGTCATTGTTCCATTTGTTTGTAGTAAGTACAGCCTGTTGTTTTGGAGCAATCCATGTGTTTGACTCCGTGCTCCATATTAGCCAGTCTTCTCCATCATAGCCATGCTGTCGATAACCAGTAACCTTTTGAGTCTCATCATCCCACTCACAGCCGTACATCTTCTGGACAACATGAACACCTGAAAGACAGAGATGGAAGGAAGAACTGAATAGATTAGGTTTATTCCTCATTTAATAACAGTTTGAATAACACAAAACAACAGTCATCCATATATTACAGACATCTTAATAGAAAAAAAGAAACTCCTGAGAAAAATGTAGAAAAGATATTATAACAGAACCTTCACATACAGATTTACTGTCAGCAGTTTATCTACACTGACCAAGGTAGTGTAGCTGCATGTAGTGGAGATGAACACAGGCACTGTGAACTTTTCAATAATTTAATCTAATTTATTACATAATGAGCATCTTCAGACAGACAGCGAGCTGATAGGCCTGATGACAATCTCGTACAATGTTCTGGTATCAGACGTTACAGACCCTGTGAGGTTCCTGGTACGGGTTTTTCACTGAGGAAAACCAGACTATAAAATGAAAAATAAACACTAACTCCATCAGTAACAGACTAGTGTATGGGGGGAAGAATCTGCAGACGGTCCAGTTCACCTGCCCACAGAACTCCTCACTCCGACCAGAACCACTGACCCAGCAGCTCCTTCTCTAGAAAGCAGCTCAATCAGAACCAGCTGATGAACATGAAGGTTTTCCTGCTGATCAGAGGAAACCTGATCAAATAAAACATGTCTGATCAGTCTGACAGTCTGAGCTGCTTCAAGCTGCCATCAGTCTGAACAATCCGACCCGGTCCAGCTGATCTGGGTCAGTATTTCTCTGTTTGTGCTGCCAGATGCCTGAATGAGCAGAAACCTGATTCCTGCTAACCAGACAAACTGTTTCTGCTCTGAGCTGCTGAGACGTTTGTTAAACGGGTCTGAAGGAGACGAAGGTCGTCGTTCTGGAAACGCAGCTTCATCCAGCAGCTGCTGAGGGAATAAAGAGTCAGAGAGAAGCTGGAACCCTGAGCCCGTCTGACCCGGTTCACTGATTCTACCAGAGTTTCTGACCCGTTTCTCTGATTCTACCAGAGTTTCTGACCCGTTTCACTGATTCTACCAGAGTTTCTGACCCGTTTCTCTGATTCTACCAGAGTTTCTGACCCGTTTCTCTGATTCTACCAGAGTTTCATCCCATCTGCTGGTTCTGGAGCAGAATCTTCTTCCAGCGGCTCAAAGTTCTGCTTCCCTCTGACAGCAGGTCGTTCCAGCTGCTCTGCTGACCCTCTGGATGGAGGAGGACGTCTTCTGTCCACTGGACCCGGTTCCTCCTGGTTTCCTGTGTTTCACAGCGACTGAGAGGAGAACCGGGCCTGGGTTGGACGTTCCTCTCTGTTTCCTGTCATGTGACCTGCTGGTTCTGCTGCGGCACCAGAAGGTCCAACTCGTCTCTACCAGCATGGAGGAGACAAACCGTCCTGTCCCCGTCTCATTTCTGTCCGTCTCTGGACAGACGGAGGAGAAAAGCTGCGTCTTTAACGGATGTTCTGGTTCTGCTGCTGCACTGATCGGTTCTGATCCACAACAAACCAGCAGCTGGAATGAGAGACTGAACCGGGCTTTAACCGGGTCATGTT